TTAATCTTGTAGAAATAGTTCGGGGGAAGGCAGAAAAACTAATATTTGTCAAGTATATATCCGCCTGCTATTTTGTCCCACGTAGTTTATCTCATTTAATTTTCCCAGCTACCTCGTGAGGTAGGAATTACTGCCCCCACCTTAGGAGTGGGGAATCTGAGTCTTGGAGATTAAATGATCTCCCCAAGGCCGGGCTGCTTAGTAAGGATCAAGGTCAATGTTCAAAGCCAAGGGCAACATCTATGTCTTTAGAACTCACTCCACTGAGAAGCGGGTGTATTTCATTGAAAATGTTGGGAAAAACATGTTATAATAATTGCTATTCATTCAGCTCTTACAATGTACATATCTTATCCCTAAGCACAGAATATCTTTCCTCACCTGCAAGAATAAAAAGGAGGGTCACATTTTTTAAAAACATTAAACGATCGTTACTAAACAGAACAATGTCATTTTTTTAAGAGTCTGAACAATTATTAAATGCTAATTAGAGATAGGGATCTATTGTCTAGAAAAGTAATAATTATAACATATTTTAAAAATAAATATAAAGTAATGTGTTCATTTTTGAAAATGAACAAGAGTTTTAAAAAGGAAAAATATCTATAATCACGTCATCCAGAGGGAAAAAACATTGAAAATATTTTGATGATTTTTAAAATTGGCATAGTTTCGTTTATCATTTTGAACACGGCACTTTTCACATAGTGTCATGAATGTTTTTATAACCCATCAAAGGATTTTTAAAATATGAATTCACAGACTGTATAATGTAATATTATATATATATACTACAATCTTTTTTTTGAACTTTCAGTCTGCTTTCAAATGAAAAATTTCAAGCTGAAAATTGCTACACTGTATATTCTGATTAAAACCTTAGAACAGCTTTCTAGAAGTGGGATCAGTAGGTCGAAGAATATATTTTTCAAGTAAAATTTTTAAACTATTTTTTGAATAATAATACATGCACGTAGTTCAATATTAGAATGACCTAAAAAGCCCACACTGACACATCTTGGCGCCATCCCTTCTTCCCTGTACCTTATTGCTCCTTGTCTCCTCCAGGGGACATTTTTTGTTTTAAGTTTCTTGTTTTTTCTTCCGTGTTTCTTTCTTAAATTCCTTCATTCTGGCAAAAGGGAGAATATAGTACATACTCCTCCATGTCTTGCTTTATTCACCTCATTCTATATCCTAGAGAGCTTCCCATATCAGTTTGTAGAAATATTTCTTTTCTTTTGTCTCCTATTTGCATTATGTTCCTTGGTGTGGAGGAACCCCAGTTTATTCCACCAGGCTCCCAGAGTTTTCTTATCTTCTGCTGTTACGAACAAATCTATCATGAATAACTTGAAGTATGTCATTACATCTATCTTGGGGAGTATCTGTAGTATAGATTCCAAAAAGTTGGATGTAGAATAGCCCCTAGGGTGGGCGGCCTCCCGGCAAATATTCTTGGCAGGGCCCTTGTCCTCATAAGCAATTTAATTTTAAAATGTTTTACAAAAATCTTGGGCCCATGTGAGTTATAGGGACTTATTAGTGAAGATTTAGTATAACGAGTAGAAAAGAGGTACTTACGTATTTGTCGATTGTCCAATAAATGCAAAAAAAAAGATGAATCTTTATAGTGTTCAGGCATCATCTTTTTTGTGTTCTTTATTGCCAAATGTGCTATTTCTGGCTCATTTCTCCCACTATTAAGATAAAGGTAGTAAAACTCCAACACTCTGGCTCTTCAGAACCTATTTATATTGAAACAGCATAGATTTTCAGGCCTCTGCAGTTTTCCAATACCATTCAGTTAACGCTGTCTACATCCTTACTCGTGTGGCTACATCCATCTTGCCCCCAGTGAATACTGGCCTCCAATGATTTTCTTAAAAGTTGTTACCGTGCTTTGTTACAGAATCCATTAATGCTAGTCTTCCCGGAAGTATGTAGGAAAACGTGAGGATAATTTGTTTTCTGATCATGTTGGCTTCACCGTTTGGAATTTTATAGTGTAAACGTAGAACGACCCATCCTCCACCCATGTGTTCCCGTGAAAGCTTAGGCTGTGGTTACTGCATTTCTCGGTGTGATTTCTTTCGGTGTCAACTGCACCCAAGCAAAGATTCAGATGTTAGTCAGGCTCTGGAAACTTCTATGTCCATCTGTAAAAACCTCACTAAGTCAGTTTAACCAGAACCCCCCATCCTTGACTTTGATCACTGTCAGTCAGTATCTGACTGTCTTCCACCCCCACTCCCTGCCCCCACCCCCAGCGACGTCCAATCACTCTGGCCTGTATTTAGCAAAGAATCCTGTGAGGTCAGTTTAGCCAGAATCACCCTTACCCCTGATCTTTCATAATAGTAATTCTCCACTCACTCACTTTCATCGATACGTGGCTGTAATTCCCACTCGCCCATGCTGTATTCACAGTTGAGCCCCATGTCTCTCATTGCAGTGGTCCCCATACCTATCATAATGATCCTGAATAAAGTCCACCTTACCATCTTCAACAAGTGTCATTGAATTTTTTTTTAACTACCCCACCTACCACTGTCGTCAGTGGGGAGGCGAGGCGAGGGCCCAGGAGCAGAGTGAGAAGAATGGTCCCGTTCACACAATGAATGGCGGTTTCTTGTCCAGTACAATTTAAGACTGACCTAGGAGAACACGAGATCACCACATCAACTGGAGACAAGAGAGGACATCGACCAGAAGAGCCAACAGCGGAGTAGTGGTCTTGAAAGGCTTCAGAGGAGAAAGAAGCGGCTGCTCCCCGAGTGCTGCCTGGCATGAGGCACAGAGCCTGCAGGAAGGTGGAGAGACCTCCTGGGTGCAAGCGGTGTGGGTGCACGGGTAAAGGACGCCTGCCACCATCCCGCGACATCCGGATGCTCTAGACCAGAGACGGTGCTGCAGTCAGAATACTGACAAAAGAGATCTGAGGCTCAAGTCCATGGATTAGCTGTGGACTGTCAGTGGCCCAGAGCTCTGATCGTGTCCTGTGTGTCATGTGAGAGTCACCCCGAATCAACATGTCAGTACTATTCTGGCAACCCATTATCATTCTGGACAATGAGAATGATCAGCTTACCACATTGTCTTCTTGGAACTGGCAGGGCTGGCCATAGAGTCCTGGGACTACCCCATAGGCAGGAGTCTGACTTCGTGGGGGCATCTGGTTGATTCCACACAGGGAGCCCTCCCTGAAGGGGAGAAACAGGAACTGGGGCCCACTCTCTGCTTGGCTGGTCCCAGGCATTGGACAGTGACTTACAAAACTCTGAGGTAGTTGTTTCTTGCAAATGGAGTTCAAATAGGACCAGTTTCAGGTTGGGGCACCCTGCCTGGATGGCACTGCCGATCCTGGCTAGTCTCAGGCAACTGAGGGAGATTTAGAAATAAAATTTGAGGAATGCACTGTAAAGCAGGGGTAGATGAAATTTTGTCTATAAATAGGCCAGATAGTAAATACTTTAGGCTTTGCAAGCTATACGGTCCCTTTCACAGCCACTCAATTCTGCAGTTGTGGAGGGAAAGAAGCTAAAGACAATATATAAACAAATGAGCATAGCTGCATTCTAATAAAACTTTATTGACGAAAACAGGCAGTGAACTGGCTTTGGCCAGCTAGCCAGTTTTCCAACCACTGCATGTGGCAGAAGGCCCAGAGTAAAGGTTTCGCTTGCCTGGGTCTATTAGCAGGAATAGTGAGACTATAGGATCAAACATAAGAGCATCTGTAATTTTGGTGTGTATGACCAGATTCCTCTCTACGGAGCTTTAATCATGGTAAATTTATCATTTACCCCAACAATTTTTTCTGTTTTCCTACGGGCTTGCCAAGAAAATGTTTTATCCATTTTTGAATTTTTCCCAATTTGCTAGGTGAGAAATGGTATCTCAAGGTGATTTTAATTCGCATTTTTTCAGTTTGAATGATGCTGAACTTTTTTTATGAACCATCTGTCTTTGACTATTTTACTATTTTGTTGGTCTTTTTTCTCGATTTATATAAATTCTTTATATACTAAGGAAATTAGCCCTTAATATGTATTTTGTCATTGTTGGCTATTGTGGGCTCTCTATATATGTCAATTAGGTCAAAGTGGTTGATAGTGTTGTTCAAATGTCTGAGATACTTAGTGGTCACTCAAGTAGAGTTGTCCAGTAGGCATTTGGAAATACAGATCTGGACCTCAGGTGAGAGGCCTGGAGAAATAAATTTGGGAATCATCAGTATGGATGGCATTTGAAACAACGAGATGGGAGAGGTCACCTCGGGAGAAAAAGTAGATAGAGAAGAGTTAATAAAAACTGAGCTGTATGTAGGGCATTCCAAAATTTAGAGATTGCAGAGGAAAATCAGCAAGACAGAGAAGGGGCTTCTGGGGTACTGGAAAGAAAGCAAAATGCAGACATTTTTGGCCAAGCAAAGCAAGCATCTTGAGTAAGGAGACTCTGTCAAATACTTTTAGATACTGAAAAAGATGAGAATTCTTGCTGAGAACTGATCACTAGACTTGTCAACATGGAGACTATTGGCGACCTTGACAGGAATACTTTCAGTTGAGTGGTGGGGACAATAAGCCTGATCTCCCAGAGAATGAAATGATTAGAGAAATACAGTAGGCTGCTGAGCAGTTGAGGGGTAACTTGATGTCTAAGGTTGTAAATTTAAAGATCAGTCCTGGCAGTTATGGCATAAGCAGAGAGCTGTGTGTAACCAGAGCTGTCCAGTAAGTATGTCGGTGACAGCTGAGGACGTATAGATTGATGGACCTAGGAATCTAAACTGAAAAATGAGAGGAGTACTTAACAATGAAAAAGTGACAAAGCAATGGATTGGAGGTCCTGGTATGGTTAAAGCCCAATTTATTATACTCATAAATACTGCACACACACACACACACGCACACACACACACAATCATCCTAGTCTCTTCTGGGTGACTTCCACACAGGCTCAATGTACATCTAGTTTATCAAGAAGTACAACAAGGCTGGGTAAATATTTCTTAAATTTTATTCTTATTTGAGTTTACAACAATTCAAAGATCCAAGATGCCCATTATAAATGGATATATTACACCACAGACATATTATAAGGCAAGGAAACCCAATTACTGAAAGACTTTTAAAAACATACTTCATTTGGCTACATCACTGATAGTCTATGATGTGGAATTTTTGATGTCTTCTAGAAGATTCTTCGCCCTAAGTTTCTGTTTTATCACGTTCTAAGAAACTTTTTTTTTTAAGGAAAAAATATGGTTGCTGAACAAGAACGAAAAACGTTTTCAAAAAAATTATCTCTGCATAAATAAAGTGTCTGATAGACTAATGAAAGGAAGAAGTTTGGAAAGCAGAAGTTTTTACATTGTATAAAAATACTGTGAATTTATATTATGTAAGATGGATAATAAATGTTTTTTGTAGGTAAATAAGTCATCTTATCAGTTGCATACTTATGTAAAGGATTTCAAAAAAAAAAACAGTAAAAATTTGTAAAGAAATCTATACTCCTTTTATAAATCAATTCATCTAACAGTGACTGATTTTTCCATGTCTTTATTTTTATTTTCCTATTCCATGCCTTTTAGACACTTTGTTGCTGTAACCAAGATTGGGTAGCAAAAGAGAAAGGAGACGACCCAAATCAGTTATCCTAGTTATTGATCAGTATCTATGGAAAATGGCTAGATCTGGGAAGGGTGGTAGCAATTAAACGTTCTATGAAATAAGGTATTGTTCTTTATTCTAATAAAGAACATTTATCTGTGTTTTCATTTATCTGTGTTTTCCTTGGTCTTAGGAACATGAATCATTTAGAGTTGGCTATCCCTACTATTAAGATACATTAAATGGAAGTTCCCTTGTCTGAAATCTAAAAGACGTAGCAGTACCCTATTTGACTTTAGAAAATCCTGTTTCTCCAGTTGCTCTCCTCTCAGTTAATGAGTCAAGTGCTCCTGGTGTATGTGGAGGGTCATAGAAAGTTCTGGCTTAGGACAGCGGAAACCTGGAATGGACTTCAGTTAGAATTCGGTCATTTTGCAGCTGTGCAATCTTAGAAATTTAACTTCTCTAGTTTCAGTTTCTTCTGTTGTAAAACAGAGATAAGAATATTTACCTAATCTATTTCACAGGTACTGTTGTGAGTACTAAATAATACAATGTTTTTGAATGCGCTTTAGAATAAGTAATGCACTAAAAGTTATTGATAAATGCTTTAGAAATGTGGTTAGCTGTGTACTACTTTATTTTAAAAAATCAAAACAGAAATCACTGGGAAATATAAATGCTTATGAATCATATAGCCCAGATATAAACAAGTAATTTATAAATGCTTTACAATAAAATCAAATAAATTATTTACGGATTTGTTTAAATTAAAAAAAAATCTTTGCAGATAAATATTCATCTACTTAACTTAATCATTTTTTTTAATATAAGAATGTTCACTATGTGACATTATAACTCTCCAAAGGAGAAAGTCTATAATTAGTTCAGGTCTCTGCCTTAGAAGCTTCATTATAAGGCAGAAGAATGGAATAATTAAAGTTTTAAAATAAGCAAAAATATATCTCTAAACCACAGTCCCCTTATTTTAAAGAGCTTAATAGGAACACTCCCCTCCCATGTTTATAAACAACCTACTATTTATATAATGTTAACACTAGCTCACAACTTAAATCATGATGATCAAAGTTAATGTACATGTTTTCTTCCTCTATCAGCTAAATTATGAAATATTGGATGGTCTTAAGAGATTCCACTGCATTTTTTAAAAAATGAACTATATGTGATATAAAAACGCTTACCTATTGAAGAACTAAGATGTTGGTCAAGTGTTTGGAATACCGATCAGAGTTTTATAAAAAGATGTGAGAGACAGCCTGTGTGAACAGGTGATATACACAGGCATGAATGATACTAGAGTAACCCACCAACTTCTCTTTTAAAATGGTAAGCCAAAAGTCTCAATACACCTTTTAGTAGAGCAAATGAACCACTTGCTCATTCTAAATCTAATAATATCTCAGTTAGAATAAATGGTACCGTTTTTTAAATAAGAAGAAACTATTAATTATAATGCAGGTAAGAAATACTAAGTTATGGACAGTAGCAAAATTTTTGGACCACATGATATAGAAACAAATCAATAAAATGTGTTTAAGAATAACTATATAATACTAATATTCTAATAGCACTAATTTCTTTGCTACCAATTGGCCAAGACTCAGTTCTCCATCAAAAGCTTCTCTGTATCTGTCTGTCTCTCTCTCTCACACACACACACACACACTTCTCATACCATCTTGTTTCCACAAATGCAGCTCTTCTGTTTTTGACTATTAAGTCTTTGAAAAAGATCAACATTCTTTCAAGAAATCAACGATCCAAAATGACCCATTGCTTTCATTAAAGATCTCTCAAGGTCATTCTGTTTAAAAGGCAGCCTGCCAAAAATCGGCAGAGTTGAAATTAAATTGGCATTGGCACAGGGACATTCATAGACGCAGGTAAAAGTGAATTTATCTTATGCTCAGCAGCATTTTTTTAGGTCAGGTTAGGAGCACGTAATGGGCAAACTTATCCTCAGCTGTCAGAGAGGTAGGCATAATTAAAACTATTAAAAGCTTTGTTGGGCCCGTTTCGTTGTACAGTATGCCTTGTGGTACAGCACATCTGTGAGATGAGAAAGGCTAAACTAGAATTGTTTCCTCTAACCTGGCATTATAAGTTAAACCATAATAAAGTACATTTCTGCTGGGTCTGTGGTTTTAAAATTATTCTTTGTAAACATCCTATATTCTTTCCTACTTAATTAGTTTCTGAGCTTGAGCTTCTATCTATGTCTATGTCAAATTACCATTTTTTTCTCTACGAAAAGCAGCATAAATACTGTTCATTCTGGTTTCAACACAAACTCTTAAAAAATGTTAAGGCCATTTAATTGAATCAGGGCCAGCCGAAGATTACCCTGGCAGAAGTCAAACTAGTGATTTCAGATTTTTGAGAAAAAGCCAGAAGTGGTTGTCTTGTGTTTTCCTCCTTGGTAACTTGAGAGCAGCTGGAAGCATTTATTAGTCTCCAACATCTCCATCTCGATCTCCGATAAGCCAAAGAAAATGAAAACTTAGCGCTAACAACGCTGTCCCGAGCAGATCGCCCAGTGCTGTTAGGTAGGGGATGGAGAAACTGTCGGGGTCCTTTCCTTTCCTCCAGAAGTGATGGACCATCCAGTCAGCGATCCACAGCAAGGTAAATACCTGGAAGAGAACATCAGAGATTACTCCTGTCACCTGGACCTGGTAAACAGGGCCATAAACTTAAACCGCTGCTTTCTGGAAGTTAAAACAGCAGGCATCTAACTCAAGAACCTGCTTGAAAAGAAGAAATATTTAACTGGTGGAAGATTTTCTTTTCGCAAGGAAAAATTCCATTTCTCCTTGCGATAAAATTTTTCCTCAGTGTTTTATATAGATCTTCTCATTTTCTTCTAGCCTTCCAATAACCATAATCACCCTTATATTTAATAGCATTGTACGACTGCCAAACCACTGTCATGCTTCAGCTTCTTTCTACACGATAAACCTGTGAAGAAGGAAGAAGATATATGAAGAAAGAAATAAAAAGGAAAATTAGGAATCATTGAACATTCTCTTACTATAGATATACCAAGTGACATAAAGGTGGAGAACTGACCATTCATTTACCAACTGTAAGGCCACCGGGGGCTTGTCAAGGAAAACTTCAGTGCAACGGTAAGAACAAGAAATAGAAGGTACGTGCATTGAGGAATGGCTTGTCTATTTAGATATAGGAACAGACACAGAAAGAGTCGGAATATTCTAAAGGGCTATTCAAATACTAAGGTGATAGATGTATTTTCTAGGATATCAGAACTATAAAGACCTTTGTGATGCTCTGAATCTTGGGATCAGATAAATGTCTTTTTTCTTAGCTCCATTTACAGGAGAAGGATTTTCTAATTATCAAACTCTTAGAGTATTAAAAGGGATTTGAGATTAAAGGTTAATGTTTACTGGTTTTGGACAAGTTGGCAAGTACAGTATTAGTGGTTCAGAGCACTTCTCTGTCACTTACTAGCTGACTGTAGGCAAGTGAACTTCTCTGCCACTATTTCTCTGAATGAACATTAGAGATAATAGTAACTACCTCACAAGAACGTTGTGAGGATTAAATAATAGACTAAATAAATTAGTGGCTGGCACAATAAACTACCAATAAACTATCAATAGTGTCTGCTATTAATTTCTAACAGTGTCACCGCTATTACTACTCATGGCTTCTCAGATTTGGGGGACACTTAGTATGTGTGAGAGGAAGCCCACTCTAGGTCCAGGTTCTACACCAAAGGTCTGTTACCTTTCACTATTCTGACAGGTAAGCCGTGAAGGTCAGATGTTTGCTTTGAGTTCTGTAATTTAGCTTTGACACCTTTTCCAGGAAGGTAAGTGGCTTGTCCAAACAGGGACATATACCTATTCCAAAGAAGTGAACTTCAGATGTCTCTGGACATCTGTTAGAAAAAGAGGTGGTGTTTTAAGTCCTCTTTTCTTTCCCATGAGGTTGATTCTTTCTCCAGTAAGCCGTGAAGGTCAGATGTTTGCTTTGAGTTCTTTTCTTTCCCATGAGGTTGATTCTTCCTCAGTGTTTCACTGGCAGAATGTTTTGGAATCAAGATTTCATCAGGACAATCTGTTTTACGTCTGAAGGAAGTATGGAATGGGTCAGGCCACATCTAGGCAGTGTGGTGGGAACCTGATCACTCCTGTGTCTGCAGGGTCTAGCAAAGGGGACTAGCTTATAAAGTAGACACCTGACATCTGCTTGAATACATGAAAATCAGCTGGAGACAATGTTACATAAGAGACTCCGATGAGAACAAGAACTGTTTGTCCTGGGCAGGGTGGGTGCAGAGATGTAAACTTCAGAAAGTTACTGTGTCAGGAGACACTAGTTTGTAACACATAGCTTCCAGGATAGATTTTTGGGCTACAAGATAAAAGTTACCAAAAGATAGAACTGAAATGAATAGCAATTTGGGCTGTCTATAAATGGAATGAGGTATGTGGTAAACTCTGTAATACAGGAGTATATGGAAGTTCAACAACTTCCCCCGCCCACCCCCCACCCCCCCGCTGATTTAGTGAATAATGTATGCAGGAGGAAAGAGTTTTAAAGAGAATGGGGCTAGCTAATTTCTTTAAGATGGGCAAAATTATAAACAAATATTATATACATATATTATATATTTATATCTTAATAATTATGTATTAATAACAAATTAATTTATATATTATATAATAATATGTCATACATGTGACAAATATAGTTTACTAATTCCTTGCATCACATCTGCATTGAATGGGAGATTGGTCTAAAGAAGGATTGGCAAACTAGAGTCCATGGGCCAAATGTAACCTGTTGCTTGTTTTTATAAATAAAATTTTACTGGAAAACAATGCTACCATCTGTTTACTTACTATTCAGTCTACTATTTCATCCTCACAAAATTCTCATGAAACTAGTACTATTATTATCCCTAATATTCGTTTGGAGAAATTGAATCAGAGAGGTTAAGTCACCTGCTTGGCGTTACGATGACATAACTATGTAGCTGTGACAGCGACCATATGGTCCACAAAACCTGAGATATTTGCTATCTGGCCTTTTACAGAAAAAAGTATGCTGACCCCTACTCAGGAGAAAATTCTTACTCCTACAGAGAGAACGAAAATGGCACCCTTGCCTCACACCCACCGAATCAACTCTAGGTAAAGACTCAAGTATAAAAAGCAACATTTAAAACGTTTTACAAGAGAATGTCATTATGACCTTGATGTAGGAAATGATTTCATGAATAAAATGCACGATATATTAAAGGAACAAGTTTACAAACTACACTGAAGATTTCTGTGGTTCAATAAATACCATAAATTAAAAGTCATGCCCCAGGCTTGAAAAAAATTTCTACATTGCATATAACTGACAAAGAATTAGTATTCAGAACATCTAGAGAGAATATACAGAGAACTACAATTCATAAGAAAAATAATCTAGAGAACAAAAAAGGAATCTAAAGCTCCAAAAAACATATGAGAAGATAATCAACTTCACTAAAAACACAGGAACACAAATTAAAACCACACTAAACTCCATTTCATACCCATCTGACTATCAAAAATCAACTTTTAAATAACAATAACAGCAAACGTTTTTGAAATGGCGTGTTACGGGGCCATGCAATGTTCAAAGAGGTTCACATGTATGAACTGATTTAATTCTCAGAACATACCTATAACATGCTGTGAATTATTACTAACTCTTTTTGACATATGAGGAAACTAAGGCAATGCAGAGTATAAGAAACCTGCTCAAGATCACACAGCTCATAGGTGGAGTCAGGCTCAAACTCACACAGTCTAATACTATCCATTAGTGCAGTACATTGTTTTGGTAAAAAAAAAAGAACTTTACATGGGCAACGAGAGAATAAACTGGCACGACTACTTTGGAGAGCGATTTGGGACTATCTATCAAATTTGAAGATTTGCATCACCTTAATTCAGCAATTCCACACAGAAACAATATATTTTTTCCTTCTGTAACATGGAGAAAAGGACAGAATGATTCACAGCCTGGGGGCTCTACTGACCTCAGGTCCCATATGGCTGCCCAAAGACTGAGAGGACCAATAGCTTGGTGTATTTGGGGAAGCTCTGCATACATGCAAACTAAGAGAAATGTGTAAGAATATTCACTGCACCGTTGTTTGGAAAAGTCAAAAACTGGAAATAACCGAAAATGTCTATTGACAGGAGAATGGCTGACTGTCATATAACTAAACACTATATAGAAGCTAAAATGAATGAAAAAGAGCTACAAAAATCAATACAAATATGTCTCAAAACCTTAAGGTTGAATGAAATAAAGCAGTAGAAGACTATGTATACGATTCTAACAAGTTTTATAAATATGAAAGACAGTACAATGGTATAGATACATGCATCTGTAACAATAGTATAGAATGGCGACAATACATACCAATTTAGAATGCTGATAACTGCTAGGGAGGGAATTAAATGAGACCAGGAAGAGACACACAAGAGGCACCAACTATATAGATGATGTATTTTTTATCGATCATTTTGAAATAGTTGCTTAAATAATTTGTTAAGGGTCAAAAGCTGAGTAGTAAATACACGGTCATCTTATTTCCTATAACTTCCTGTACATTTGTACTTCATAATAAAAAAAAGTAAGCAGCTGGGGCAGTGGTGATCAGTCACTGACCAAGTATTCTATCACCTAGAATACCTACCCAGAGAGACACCTGAGAAAGGAAGTCAGTACATCCTGTAGAACCCAGAAGGGTTTGAACTTGTAAGTACCAAGTGGTACTGAGGCTTACTTCAGAATTATTTAAATGTCTGTGTATGATGAGAGCAAATGTTTACATTCTCTCATCATTCTTGCAACTGTCCTTCCCAGGTAGGAAAATAAAGATAAGTTTTCTGGAGAAACTGAATAGGAATGATTTAGGACCCAAGGACACTAGGCACTGTGAGGTATTGGCTGAGAATGAGGATGAACTGCAAGTCTGCATAATTAATGGTGGGATTCAGACCCTTATTTTGTCCCAAGAACAGTAGAAGGCAGGTGTAGAACCCGCCCTTCATCTCCCCAAGAGAGATTAGACATTCACATTTGAAGGAGTCCCAGTGGAATGGCCAACTCCCTCCACCCCCAACAGTAAAGCACCCAGTCAGCAGCCTTCCCCTACTTCCAATCTGCTTAACCTCTCATGCCTCAGTCTCCTCCCTATGAAATAAGGAAAATAATCTCTACCTCACAGAGATGATGTGAGGATTAAATAGTACAAAATACTTAGAACAGCGCTTGGCACATAGAAAGAACGCAATATTTGCTATGCTTCAAAAACAAAACAAAACCCAAAACACCCAAGAAACTGACTTTTCCAATAGCAAACACTGGGAGACCAGGGCACAATGCCTTTAAAATCCTGAGAAAAGAAATATTTGCAACCTATAACTCTGTGCCCAATTTATCAACCAAGAGTTAAAGGTAAACTAAAGGCATTTTAAGACACACATGCACTTAGAAAAGTTTCCTCTCGTGTTCCCCATCTACGGAACTTCCTTGAGAATGTGCTGACGCAGAGTGAGCGGGGCAGAACCAAGCAAGAGAAAGAACTGGGATCCAGGAAATGGAAGAGCGAGAC